ACATGGTCGTGCATGCCCACGATCCTGGGAGGAGCATGGAGGAGAAGGGATTGTGGCGTGGCCATCCTCCCTGGGGGGTGATTTCTCACCTTTCCTCTCACCGTGTCTATCTGTCTCTCCAGCAAATGCATGAACCCTAAGACAAAAATCTCTTTAAAAAATAATAATTAAAACAAAAAACAAAAAAACAATTTAACTAGGTGTGTGTGCATGCATGCCCAAAATCCCAAAAGGAGAATGGAGGAGACAGGGTTACAGTGTGGCCACCTTCCAGGAGTGACTTTTTTTTTTAAGAATGATTTTATTTAATTTTATTTATCTTTAATTTGACCAGAGAAGGACAGAGCGAGAGAGAAAGAGAGAGAGAAGGTGGGAGAAGGGAAGCGAGAAAGTAAGCTACCAGGTCTGAGACTCGAACTGCGGTCGGCCATGTGGGAGTCCAGCACCCTTAACCACCACGCCATCTGCTGGCCACCCTCAGGAGTGGTTTCTTACTTTCTCTTGCTCTATCTCCCTGTGTCTCCAGTGAGCACGCGTGCTGTATAGCAAAAATCTCTCTTAGAAAAGAAAGAGACAATATGGAGTGAAGCGTGTAACTCAAGGCCACATCGCAGGAAGCCGCGAGCTGCAGAGCCTATGTTCTTAACTAGAAGCCCGGGGGTACTGAGCAGCCTTGGGTATGCCTCTCTACCTCTCTGGGCCTCTCTCCTCCTCTACAGAATGGGGGCAATAGGCTAGCAATGAGGACTTAGTGAGGACAGCAGTGACAGTGTGGTACAGTGGAGAGTGCAGTGCACACGCGGCAGGACCGCAGCCCATGAGAAGGGCTCCTGTCCCTTCAGCCTATAGACCAGGGCTGCCTGGAGGGTCCTGCCTCCGTCCCCACCTCCAGCTGACTCAGGGGCCACCCCTAGCTGGTGATCAGGATCTAGGTCAGCAGTCCAGGTGGCAGGAAGAGATAGAGAACGTGTCATTCAAGAAATGGTTTCAATAATTGAAAAGCTAGCTGCTGCTTAGAGGCTCTCGCCTCCAAAACCCTGTGCCAAAAGCCATTTGAACCAGGAAGTCCTGGGCCCTTTGTCCTGGCCTGGCCTGTTGGCAGACTTAGTGAATGCCCCCACCAAGCCTTGGAGGGACCACCTCATGGGGGACAGGCCCCTGGGTTTGCTACCTGCTGGGCCACCAGGGTCACCACTTATATTTCTCTGGGTTTCAATTTTCTAGGCCCAAGGCACGGGTCCAGAGGCCACCCCGCCGGAAGCCTCCTATAGCTGCCAAACAGAAGTGGGAAAGGGTCCTCCCCCAGCGCCCCCACACATACACATCCTGCAGGAGGCCCACCCCTTCACCCACAAGCCACATCACTTTCTAAAAATAAGTCTTTGTGGCCAGCTATGTAGGGGAAGGGCTTGGCCCCTGAGGCCTCAGGCTCCACCTAGCACCTTGTTCCCTGGGCAGGAGGGACCAGAAACCCAGAGATTTCAATTCAGACCATGAGGTTAACCCCCTGTAACGTCCAGGTCTCTCCCCAAAAACGGTGCCTCCTGAATAAAGCAGAAAGGGCTGAACGCAAATTCCGCAGCCTGGCGCACCCCCAGGTAGGCCTCACCTGGGTGTCCTGTTAGTACCACTAACCTGCTTCACGGGGACGAGAGCCAGGCCCCAAACCAGAGAGGGCATGCTAGTTGCCTTGGGCCACACAGCTTACCAGAGTTGGGCTGGACTTTGAGGCTAGTCTGCCCTTCTCTGCTCAGGAGCACTGGGGCAGAAAGGGCTGTCAGTCCAGGGTGGGAGAGGCTGCTCTGCCTGAAGGCATCCCCAAGACCCTTCTTTCCACCCCCTTCTCCCCCACTTACCGGAGCCTTCATGCTGCCTTGTCCCTCAGCAGTCTGGGGGCTGCTGTCTCCAAGGCTCAGGCTGGGAAGGGGTGGCAGCCGGGCACCTGTTAAGACCCAAAAACTCAGAGCCATAAGGCAGACAGAGTCCCAGACTATCGGAGAAATTGAGGCAGGGAAGGGTACAGACCGGGGTCAAGGCAGATGGTGCCTGGGCATCGAACGCCTCAAAGTCTCCAAACTCCCCATCCATCCTAAAAAGCCGGATTCAGCGACCTCTAGGAGACCTCTGGCCAACCCCAATCTCCACTGTACAGATGGGGAAGGAAAGGCGGCGGGAGGGGGGTGCGCCATCAACTCAAGGTCACCCATCTGGTCTGGGGCAGAGAGCCAGAAGCCAGGAGCCCGGATTTCCACCCTATCCATCCTCCCTCCCTCCCTCCCCGCGGGACGAAAGGGGAGGCCTGGGACGAGCAGGAGGACGTGAGATGTTCACCTCCGGTTCCTGATCCCACCACCCCCCACCTCGACTGGGCGCTAACCAGGCGGACAGGCTGGGGCGCGCCGGAGGCTCACGATCCGCTGCTCGGAGCTCCATGGCCCGAGAGCCGGGCAGGCCGGGCTGGAAGCCGGAGCCTCGGGCGGAGGGGGCGCTGCGGG